AATTGGTGGCTGACTAAATACTTTTTTTCCCCACTGTACATACACCAAACTTAACAGTTTTATTCCTATCTATATACTGAAGGTTTTTACTGATGGGTTTGTTTATATTTCATTCACACTGATTTATGTAACATTTTATTCCTTAAAAACATTTTTTAACTAAATGAGACCAGAATTTTGAACCTGAGTTTATACATTGTTCAGACTTCTGTTCTGGAAATGTATTCAAATTAGTGCATCTTTAATTATACGATGCCTCATTTGCAAATTTAAGCATAACATTTCAGAAAAACCTGTAATGCAAAACAGATTGTTTAATGTGATTAATCAACTGGGAAAGTATGGCGTTATCTATTAGTTAAACTTATCCTGTTCACCTTTAATGATTTAATACTTTTAACAGTAATAGGACCCTATGAAATCTGTGTGTGTATATATATATATATATATATATATATATATATGTATGTATGTATGTGTGTGTGTATATGTGTATGTGTGTGTGTATATGTGTTAGGGCTGTCAGTCGATTAACATTTTTCATCTTATTAATTACAGGGTGCTGTAATTAATAAGATGAAACTAAATTTGGCTGTGAAAATACCCCCAAAAGATAATTTCAATCTATTATTGTGTTAAATGTTTAGGCTACAATGGCCTAACATAAAGTATGGAACATAAAAGAAGATAATTCGAGAAACATCTCAGTATTTTTTGTTCATGCAATGAAATTCACTAGTGACAAAACAGCTTAGTTACCAACAGTATTCAAAATACCTTATTTTATGTGCAAAAGAAAGTAAATCATTCAGGTTTGAAACAACATGAGGGTGAGTAAATGATGACAGAATTTATTTATTTATTTTTGGTGAACTATCCCTTTAATGTTTTTGTTTGTTTGTTTGTTTTTTTAATAAATGAAATGATGCTCTAAAGAAGAAACTAAAACTACCAGCAGGTGGCGGTAAATGTCTTTATGAGTCGATTCGTTCAAACGGCTGATTCATTCAGGAATTCAGTAAACGGCTCTCTCTATGAATGGGCTACTGAATCATTGATTCACACGATTCGTTCAAAATGTGGATTCATTTAGAAACTAAACACCGCTGTGTTGCTCGGAGATGCGAAACAATTCTGCTGTGGCTTTAGAGGTAATATTTTCTTTGGCAAAATTGAACAAAACGCACAATATTGTGTTTAAATTTTGCACAATATTAACTTCTTATTTACTGAACTGTTGTATAAAATCACAATTGCACTCGTGTTCTTCGTGATAAAAACAGCACTCGTGTGATATTGCTCTCGCTGCTGGTGTGATATCGCTTATCATATGATATAAATATGAAACAAAAACGGGAATTTTTTTCCCAATATCTTGAATTTTTAGGGCATAACTGCATTTATGGAGTTGATGCCCTGCATCATATTTGTCGACAGTCAACTGTATGAAATGTAAGATAATGTACAGGTCTGGGGCGGGGCCAGTGCATTAATGGCATTAAAATATTTCAATCGTGTGCTTTTTTCATAACTAATTAAGTTAACATGTTAAACTGACAGCCCTAATATATATATATATATATATATATATATATATATATATGTATATGTGTATATATATATGTGTATATAATTCTCTTATCACCTTCCATTTAATTTAGACGGGGTCTTTAAAGGCTGCTGTCTGCACACTAGGTTTTGGAACAGATCCCATCTGTCTAGCCTTGAACCAACAGACACTTGAAGCTGTTTTTAATTTCTGAAACCTTGCCGTATCCCTCATTTATGTTATTTATCTCCATGACCCGAATCTCAGATAGTTCTGTCCTTGTCTGCACTGTTATGTAAACGAAACAAAAAATTAAACAAGGAAAGAAAACCCGTATCTTTAGGGGCCACAGATCACAGGTTTATTGCATTGCAAGCCAGGATTGGAGAACAGAAACACAAATCTTTGTCCGCTTTGATTTCTCGTTGGTTTTCTTTGTTCCCTGAGATGAAAATGAGGTTTGCGCTTTGATCGAGAGAGAGAGCGATCAGAAAGCACTTACGAAACAAACAGAAGAGGGTGTCCTTTCCCTGAGGAAGAAAACTATGTGAGAAATTCTGTTTACTTGAATCCACTGGGAAAGTCGTTGCTCTTTGGGAGCAGCTGATTCCAGCGGGACGGAATTTAAGGGTTATAAAGGGTAAACACGAATGATCATGAGGCTAATGTACCGCTCGCAGAGATGATTCCACAAAAACGACGGATTACTATTGAAAACAAAGTGTAATTTTTTTTATGTTTACAGATTTTTTTTGTTTTTTTTTTATTGTTTTGGAAGAGGACCACTCATAAAACATGGAAGAATGTGAGCTGTATGTGTGTAGATCAGATTTGTCTGTGACTACTTTTTTTTTTTTTATTCGTTTGTTTTGCAGTTCTGTAAATAGCTGCCGCAAAGCAATATTCCAGACTAGTTTGTGTTTTACCGTTGAAACATTAAAAAGTCCCAATCTACGGCATGTCCTTCACTTCCAATGAGTGCTTTCAACAGCGATTGTGCGGGTTATTCTTTGTGCAAGTGTTTTAGCGTCTTACTCATCCTAAGGGAGTCTTGATCCAGATTAAACGCTGCATTTGTTGTGTTGGAATTACTGTAATTGAGATGAAGTTGTAATGTTGTTAGACTCAAAAATGATTTATTTCGCCGTCAGCGCTCATAACACCAAATCGGGTTTGGTCTTAAGGGAAATACTAAGCGAAAAATTTAAATTGCTCACCTTCAGGCCATCCAGGATGTAGATGAGTTTGTTTCTTCATCAGATTTGTAGAAATGTAGCATTGCATCAGTGTCTCAGCAATGGATGCTCTGCAGTGAATGGGTGCCGTCAGAATGAGAGTCCAAACAGCTGATAAACACATCACGATAATCCACAGCACTCCAGTCCATCAGTTAACATCTGGAGAAGACAAAAGCTTGTGGATTATTGTGAAGTTTTATCAGCTCTTTGACGGCACCCATTCACTGCAGAGGATCCACTGCTGAGCAAGTGATGGAATGCTACATTTCTCCATGGAGAAAGAAATGTATTGTTAAAAAACTCATAATTTTGTTAATTCCAACAAATTCCGATTGAAAAGATCATTTGGGATGTTTTCAGTGTGTTCCTGGAGATGTCAGACATCAACTTTAAACTACTTTAAATTTTTGGTTTCATAAGTACACTAATGTTCCTTATAGAAGAGAGGTTTTGCCCTCTCCCAGGTTTCCATTCTTCGTGCTTGTTTTTAAGTTCATACTGTCAATGTTCATCATACTCAAAGCTACAGTTGATAATTTATGTCTTTAGTTGATTTTCACGTGAATATTTTGAGTTGCATCTACTGTACTGCTGTTATGTCATTTACCCCACTTCTGTTACCCAGAAACCCCTCAACCTGCCGTCGCCTTGACCTTCCCATGAAATTACAAGTTCTTGATCCCCTTCACCTCTACCTCTCAGTGTTTGTCTCGAGCTGTTTTGATGTCGACGGATGCAACAGAAAAGTCCAAACCTGCCAGTTTTAGTCCATCTTTAAGTGTGTTTGGAGTCAAAATGCATCAGATCTTTCAGTGTATGCGTTTAGATCCACGATATTACTGATAAACTGAAAAATAAAGGGTCGTTGATGGTTCCTTAAAGAACCTTTAACATTCCATTTCCGCTAAAGGTTCTTTAAAATACAAAAAATGTCTTCACACTAAGAAAAAACGTTATTGAAAAGTTCTTTGGGGAACCAAAAATGGTTCTTCTATGGAATTGCTGCGAAAACCCCCATTTGAAAGCTTTATTTTTAAGAGTTTGTTTTATATCAGTACTTGCACTGTTGTGTTAGACATTGAAAGTCATTATTTTGTCAGTTCACAATTCTCACAGTTCACTCTCCAATCCAGTATTGCGTCATTTTCTAGTGATGTTGAGCTAGTTTCAGTCTTCGAATGGCCATCAGGTGTGCTTCGTGTAGATGATAGGAGCTACTGGAACATGTGACGAGTTGTTAAAGTCAAGAGAAACTAATTGAATTGGTGTAGTGAACATGAAGCAACGTGAATGAAAGCGAGATTGTAAGTTGGCGTCGATTGTTCAGTTGACGAAACATTGAAAAGACGTCGTTTACTGGAAAACATCAGACGTGAATCTCTAAGTTTGCCCCTCACAGTCTTGTTTTCAGTCACAACAGTTTAGAAATGGTTTCTACTCTGTTGGTGACGTTAAGTTATTCCTTGACCGGTTGGTTTAATTTATTGACCTTTCTTTAGATGGTGATGCTTTGTGAAGCACAGCTTGTGGTTGCCGTCTTTGTCTGTGTTTGTAGCGTGTTTTCAGCCAAGCTTGCGAACAAATCGAAAGGTGGTTAGAGTTTCGCAGCTCAATTCTACAGGAGTTGATGTGATCTGTACATTAGTTGCGTGTGAGTTCTGTTGGTTTTATATATTGCACACAGACTAATTATGATGCCACAAAGGTAATTTCTCCAATTAAACTCAACGTGAAACAGTTTGCAACCCTTTTTACTTTGTGCAACTGGATATTTATTGTGAAAAGGATCTGATTGTGTAAATATGTTTTATTAACCAATAACCTAAGCAACATGATCTTAAAAGTCGTTTTATGTGAGTATCAAGTATTACAAGAAAATTGTAATAATGTGGATTGTTAAAGAGCAGGAAGGTGTTCACTGCAAAAAATGATTTCATTACTCAGTATTTTTGTCTTGTTTTCCAGTACTAATATCTGAACTTTCATAAATCAAGATACATTTACTAAAAGCAACATGACATTAGATATTGTTTTCTGAAAAAGGGTTTCAAAATTAAATGTTTTTGCTTAAAACAAGAAAAAATATCAAGTTTAATTTTCTGATCCCATTGGCAGACATTTTTCTCGTTTTAAGCAAACACTTATTTAATTTTGGTACTTTGTTCAGAAAACAAAAGACTAATTTTGCTTCTAAAGTAAATATCTTGATTTAAGTACATCTTGAAATTAAGACAAAATACTCAGTGAGAATAATTTTTTCCCCAGTGCATTAAGAAAGTAAGTCGTTATGTTGACTTTAAACAAGATGACATCTAAGGCTTTTGGGGGGGGGGACCCAATGTTTTATTGCATATTAAATTGATATCCAATTCAAATGACAAGGAATGACAAGATCCCCCAAAAATAATGAAAAGGGGTTGCCTTCACAACGTTAAATTCATTAAAAGTGCCTTCTGTATGTCCTTTGGAGTAACTTTGCAGCCTGATTCAAACCGGTTTGGTTAAGTCTATCTGCTTGCCTCTATATGGGTGAGTTACGACTGAGATTGGTGACCACTGAAATACCTGCGGTGTTATTGTCTCACAACCTTTTAAAATGCAAAAACTGTAAACCTAAATCCAGATGTCTCGAAGCGGTTTGGATGTTCCTTCACTCATCTAGTTTAGACTCTTAAATATTTTGCAAAGACCACCTCTGTCAATGTGAGTTTCCGATAGCATTGTTTGTTTTTTTTAGTTCTGATGTAATTATCGGGGCGTCTCGAGACCCTGCAGATGTACAGACTGTTAACGTTCTAGCTATTTTAGTAGATGAACAGACATGAGAAACCGATGGATTGGAGATTTCATGTTTGGCCTCGTTTTTTATTTCCAATCGTACCTTTTTGGGGTATTTTTGTTTGTGGAGAATAAACTGTGTTTCGGTTTTGCTTCTGTATTTGCCAAATATGAGTAAAAAAATGCTGTATTTTCTTACATGGATGAGGTGTTTGGGAAAAGGACGTCGGAGGACTTCTGTGTCTGGGAATCAGCTGGAGGAGACACTGCAGTGAACATGAACGCGTGTCATTGTTGTGTGGATTTGATCTGCCATTAAAACATTCCCCCAGACCTCTGAGCCCTTCTGTCCTTTGACCTCATGAGAGAAACCATTGGCTATATGTGACCCTGGAGCACAAAACCAGTCATAAGGGTCAGTTTTTTAAAATTGATATTTATGCATCATCTGGAAGCTGAATAAATCAGCTTTCCATTGATGTATGGTTTGTTAGGATAGGACAATATTTGAAAATCTGGAATCTGAGGGTGCAAAAAAATCTAAATATTGAGAAAATCATCTTTAAAGTTGTTCAAATGAAGTCCTTAGCAATGCATATTACTAATCAAAAATTAAGTTTTGATACATTTACAGCAGGAAATTAACAAAATATGTTCATGGAACATGGTTTTTGGCATAAAAGAAAAATCTATAATTTTGACCCATACAATGTATTGTTGGCTATTGCTACAAATATCCCCCAGCGACTTAACACTGCTTTTGTGCTCCAGGCTCACATATTGTGTTGAGAATTGACATACGCTGTGTTTGGAATAACATACTACGGTATTACTCTTCTCACAGCACTATTTATGAAGAATGCACTATGCAGAAAAAAAATGTTTTCAACCACTACAATATGGAAATATTGCACTGGAAAAAGCCCCTCAGTATTTTTGTCTTGTTTTCTAGTGCAAATATCTTGCGGTTACTGAAACCACGCCTTCTTTCTTTGCGTGCACATTTGGGCCACATTATGCAAATTTTCCACATAGTGAGGTAGATATGTGGGGGCGTGTTAGAACGAGCCGTTTTAGGGGGGCGTGGCAGAGTCTTAACTTTGATAAAGAATATCTCTTTGGTTCATTAGTTGCGTGTGAGTTCTGTTGGTTTTATATATTGCACACAGACTAATTATGATGCCACAAAGGTAATTTCTCCAATTAAACTCAACGTGAAACAGTTTGCAACCCTTTTTACTTTGTGCAACTGGATATTTATTGTGAAAAGGATCTGATTGTGTAAATATGTTTTATTAACCAATAACCTAAGCAACATGATCTTAAAAGTCGTTTTATGTGAGTATCAAGTATTACAAGAAAATTGTAATAATGTGGATTGTTAAAGAGCAGGAAGGTGTTCACTGCAAAAAATGATTTCATTACTCAGTATTTTTGTCTTGTTTTCCAGTACTAATATCTGAACTTTCATAAATCAAGATACATTTACTAAAAGCAACATGACATTAGATATTGTTTTCTGAAAAAGGGTTTCAAAATTAAATGTTTTTGCTTAAAACAAGAAAAAATATCAAGTTTAATTTTCTGATCCCATTGGCAGACATTTTTCTCGTTTTAAGCAAACACTTATTTAATTTTGGTACTTTGTTCAGAAAACAAAAGACTAATTTTGCTTCTAAAGTAAATATCTTGATTTAAGTACATCTTGAAATTAAGACAAAATACTCAGTGAGAATAATTTTTTTTCCCAGTGCATTAAGAAAGTAAGTCGTTATGTTGACTTTAAACAAGATGACATCTAAGGCTTTTGGGGGGGGGGACCCAATGTTTTATTGCATATTAAATTGATATCCAATTCAAATGACAAGGAATGACAAGATCCCCCAAAAATAATGAAAAGGGGTTGCCTTCACAACGTTAAATTCATTAAAAGTGCCTTCTGTATGTCCTTTGGAGTAACTTTGCAGCCTGATTCAAACCGGTTTGGTTAAGTCTATCCGCTTGCCTCTATATGGGTGAGTTACGACTGAGATTGGTGACCACTGAAATACCTGCGGTGTTATTGTCTCACAACCTTTTAAAATGCAAAAACTGTAAACCTAAATCCAGATGTCTCTCGAAGCGGTTTGGATGTTCCTTCACTCTTCTTGTATTACTTCTGATTAGTTTAGACTCTTAAATATTTTTTTGCAAAGACCACCTCTGTCAATGTGAGTTTCCGATAGCATTGTTTGTTTTTTTTAGTTCTGATGTAATTATCGGGGCGTCTCGAGCCCCTGCAGATGTACAGACTGTTAACGTTCTAGCTATTTTAGTAGATGAACAGACATGAGAAACCGATGGATTGGAGATTTCATGTTTGGCCTCGTTTTTTATTTCCAATCGTACCTTTTTGGGGTATTTTTGTTTGTGGAGAATAAACTGTGTTTCGGTTTTGCTTCTGTATTTGCCAAATATGAGTAAAAAAATGCTGTATTTTCTTACATGGATGAGGTGTTTGGGAAAAGGACGTCGGAGGACTTCTGTGTCTGGGAATCAGCTGGAGGAGACACTGCAGTGAACATGAACGCGTGTCATTGTTGTGTGGATTTGATCTGCCATTAAAACATTCCCCCAGACCTCTGAGCCCTTCTGTCGTTTGCCCTCATGAGCGAAACCATTGGCTATATGTGACCCTGGAGCACAAAACCAGTCATAAGGGTCAGTTTTTAAAAATTGATATTTATCAACTGTCCCTTTAAATGTTAACTTAAAGGATCATGCTTACTACTATCTATGCATCATCTTATCCTAGTCAGATGTTCTGGAATCTGAGGGTGCAAAAAAATCTAAATATTGAGAAAATCATCTTTAAAGTTGTTCAAATGAAGTCCTTAGCAATGCATATTACTAATCAAAAATTAAGTTTTGATACATTTACAGCAGGAAATTAACAAAATATGTTCATGGAACATGGTTTTTGGCATAAAAGAAAAATCTATAATTTTGACCCATACAATGTATTGTTGGCTATTGCTACAAATATCCCCCAGCGACTTAACACTGCTTTTGTGCTCCAGGCTCACATATTGTGTTGAGAATTGACATACGCTGTGTTTGGAATAACATACTACGGTATTACTCTTCTCACAGCACTATTTATGAAGAATGCACTATGCAGAAAAAAAATGTTTTCAACCACTACAATATGGAAATATTGCACTGGAAAAAGCCCCTCAGTATTTTTGTCTTGTTTTCTAGTGCAAATATCTAGACCCTTAAAATAATATATATATATATAAGAAGCCTTGTTTTCTGATAAACTGATGAAAAGTTATTTTATGATTAAAACGAACAAATATCTGCCACTGGGCCTAAAAAAGTCAACCTTAATACAAATGCAAAAGTTTTCATTGACCGATATTTGTTCTTTTAAGCATAGACTTCATTGTGTTCAGTTTCTCAGAAACCAAGACTTGGTCTCTTCATTTTGCATCTCAAGCAAATGTATCTTGATTCAAGGATGTTTAGACATTTGTACTGGAAATTAAGACAAACATGCACTGCATGCAACATTTAATGCCACGACTTCATGAATTGAAGACTTTCTCCTCCGGTTTAATGTGGAAGGGTGTATAAAGACTTTATAAGACCTGCAGAAACTGCCAAAATCAAAGACGTTTTCACACAAAACCGAATTGTGAAAATGCGAAATAATCGTTTTTTTTCCAAAGACGCAACATGCCGAGGTCATGTGACAACAGTGTAGCATACTAGTATTTGGAACATTTATCACTGCATACTGTTTCACATCTGAACACAACATCCAGTGTGTGTCAAAACTCAATTAGCAGAAATGACGAGTGCCAGGTCCAGCCTTTCATTTAGTTCTACTCCAGTCTCTTTGCAGTGTTATCTTCCGCAGCACTGTAACCGATCATATATGAATGCAACTGCAAACCAAGGCAGTTCAATTGAAATCTATTGACTAATTAGAATGTTCTGCACTGCAAAAGTGAGAGTAGAAATATATAAATATTCTTAAATCAAGATAAATTTACTTCCGATGCTAAGTTAGCAGCCTTGTTTTCTGAGAAACTGATCAAAACTGAGTTTTTGCATAAAACAAGAACAAATATCTTCTAATGAGGTCAGAAAAAGTTGATTTTAAGTTTATTTTTCTGGCTCAATTGGCAGATATCTCTTGATTTTTCCCCCTCTAATCCAAGAAAGAAATAGACAGGATATCTAATGTAATTTTGGTAAATCTATCCTGATTTAAGAATGTTTAGATGTTTGTACTTGAAAAACGAGACAGAAATACTGATTCAATCAATCACATTTTGCGGTGTAGTTTTGTCTTGTAGCTCATTTTCTGTCAATAACTTCTTCAAAAGTTTAGTTTTCTTTAACTTTAGATGCGTCTTAGTAGATGCTGTGAATTTGGATATTTAGATTTTCTAATGCAATCAAGTTTTTCTGAAACCGTTAGATGTATAGCTTACAATATCAAGGAAGTCTATGGAACGAGAGATTCGCTTACATTCATTCTTTAATATTCTACAAAAGCGTCTCTTATCCTTTATAGGCTCTTAACAGTAAATACTGCATCATAAGTGATTCGGTCTCACTAATTTACCAAGTCTTGAGTTTATTCTTTTGAAGCAGTATTTTTGCATCGATCACGGTGCGATGCCTCGTCTCAGACTTCATCTGTTTACTAATGAAACTTTCTTTCTAGACTTAATTCTAAAACTAGCATGCAGTAAAGCTGTTTCCAAGGTAAAAGACGCATCGCAGCACTTTGTGTAATAAAGCACATGCTGAACTAACAGCTGGAGAGTTTCTGGAAAAATAACAAATGCTTGATTCTTTAGATGCTCCCATCAACCCGTCTTCTTCAGTAGATGCAAAGTTCAGAAAACCGCAAGCAAGCGCAATAACAGCATGTTAAATGAAAATTCCTCCAGTGAAAAAGTGCATCTCCTCTCGTCTCTCACAGCAAAATCCAGCCGAATATATTAGTTTAGAGCTGTTTTGGCTTGATCTGTGCAGATTTCTCTCCTGATTCAGACCAGAACACTTTTTCACCGGAGGAAGCTCTATTATGGATTATGAACTCGTATTTTAGTTATAAACGTCTTAATGCTGGATATGTTTCAGCTTTTATCTTCTCCAGATGTTAACTGATGGACTGGAGTGCTGTGATGTTTTTATCAGCTGTTTGGACTCTCATTTTGACGGCACCCATTCACTGCAGAGCATCCATTGCTGAGACACTGATGCAGTGCTACATTTCTACAAACCTGATGAAGAAACAAACTCATCCTGATCTTGGATGGCCTGAGGGTGAGGATATTTTCATCTTTGGGTGAACTGTCCCTTTAAATGTTAACTTAAAGGATCATGCTTACTACTATCTATGCATCATCTTATCCTAGTCAGATGTTTGTCTGCTACCTTGACTTCTTAAGCACTTTGAGATGTTTAATCGTGTGAAGTTTGGCCTAAACGCATCTGAGATGAGATGTGCTTTAAACATCCAGTGTGTGTTTCAGACAAAAGCTCTGATGAGGATAACACGAGCATTAATGAGTCTCAGGTCAGATGTCGTGGAATGTCCACAATGTCCATTCATTCAGTTGTTTATTATGAAGTAATTAAAGTACAGTACACTCTGCTATCGTACAGAAATCAACACACAAACTGAGATGAAACTAAAATGAGAAATATTTTGGTCATGAAAGACTGGAGCCAATTATTACAAGATTATTAAAATTCATAGAAAATGACTGTTTAATAAAGTACTGCCAGTGAAATACACAGTGGCCTGATGGGTCTTGACAGGTTTCATGAGATTCGCTCATCTGAATATCATTGCAAACATTCATTCACAATATAAATCCCAGAGGCTGAACACCAGAAAAAGGAAAAAATAGTCCTGTTCCAGTTTAATAGTGCTACTGTGATTTAAAAGCAATTCAAAACATGGACTTCTGCAATCAAACCGATCTAAAAAATTGAGTGTCTTTACAAAAGAACAAACAGCGCATGGATTCCTCACACAATCACACCGTTAAGAACAGATCTGCGTTTCTCCCTCATAGTGTAGCACATATGTGACCCTGGAGCACAAAACCAGTCATTCTCGAAAGCTGAATGAATCCGCTTTCCATTGATGTATGGTTTGTTAGGATAGGACAATATTTGGCTGAAAATCTGGAATCTAAGGGTGCAAAAAAATCAAAATATTGAGAAAATCATCTTTAAAGTTGTTCAAATGAAGTTCTTAGCAATGCATATTACTAATCAAAAATTAAGTTTTGATATATTTACAGTAGGAAATTCACAAAATATCTTCATGGAACATGATCTTTACTTAATATCCTAATGATTTTTGGCATAAAAGAAAAATGTATAATTTTGACCCATACAATGTATTGTTGGCTATTGCTACAAATATCCCCCAGCGACTTAACACTGCTTTTGTGCTGCAGGGTCACATATAAGGCACTTCCACTTGATAAACAGTCCAGTCTGACCTGGTCTTCCCACACAGGAAGCAGCTAATCCGGCTCACAGGCAGGGATACCTGGTCCAGGTGGGCAGCACACCGGTCTCATTGGCGATCCTCCAGTATCGCTCTCGCAGCAGAAACGCTCCGGCTTTGGGCTGCCGCTGCCGAGTGAAGATTCCCTTCTTATTCCCAACCACTCGAGTGATAGCTGGAGACAGAGAGAGATTAATGCATGATTTATGATTTATTATAAATGTAGCATTGCATCAGTGTCTCACCAATGCATGCTCTGCAGTGAATGGGTGCCGTCAGAATGAGAGCTGATAAAAACATCACAATATTCCACAGCACTCCAGTCCATCACTTAACACCTTGAGAAGCCAAAAGCTGTGTGATTTACGAGTCCGTAATCCATAATAACGCTTCCTCCAGTGAAAAAGTCCATCTCCTGTTGCCTCTCACATATTTGTTTAGAGCAGTTTTGTTTAGACTTGTACACTGTGCAGATTTCTCTCCTGATTCAGACCAGGGGGCTGTTTCATAAAACAAGTTGACCAAATAAGCCAGGCTTATTTCATTTAGTCTGACTTATTGTCACTGGATTTGGATTCATAAAGCAACTGTACCTGTCACTCATGCAACTTATGCTGACAAACTTCAACAGCTATTGGACTTTATTTTCAGTCCAAAAATAAATGTATACAGAAAATGCAAATCAATTAAAAAACAATACAGGCTGAGTCCGTAATCCATAATAACTCTTCCTCCAGTGAAAAAGTCCATCTCCTGTTGCCTCTCACATATTTGTTTAGAGCAGTTTTGTTTAGACTTGTACACTGTGCAGATTTCTCTCCTGATTCAGACCAGGGGGCTGTTTCATAAAACAAGTTGACCAAATAAGCCAGGCTTATTTCATTTAGTCTGACTTATTGTCACTGGATTTGGATTCATAAAGCAACTGTACCTGTCACTCATGCAACTTATGCTGACAAACTTCAACAGCTATTGGACTTTATTTTCTCTCACATATTTGCAGAGCAGTTTTGTTTAGGCTTGTAAACTGTGCAGATTTATCTCCTGATTCAGAGCAGGGGGCTGTTTCATAAAACAAGTTTACCAAATAAGCCAGGCTTATTTCATTTAGTCTGACTTATTGTCACTGGATTTGGATTCATAAAGCAACTGTACCTGTCACTCATGCAACTTATGCTGACAAACTTCAACAGCTATTGGACTTTATTTTCAGTCCAAAAATAAATGTATACAGAAAATGCAAATCAATTAAAAAACAATACAGGCTACAGACTTATGGTTATTAGTAGAACATTAAAACATTACAATCTAAAATTTCTCTTTAAAGCGGTAAGTTAAAATCAATAAATTAAAACTATAGAAAACAGACTATATTTGAACTAGTAAGAGAAATACACATGAACTCATGTGAACTAGTAATTAGTGCTATCTAGCTTGATTTAGTTACTGCTATCATAAAAAAAATACACTTGTATGTAATGTCACGTTCAACTATTTTAGCAGAATGTATATTTTACTCGCTCGTTTACTCGCCCACTCCTGACAGCAAAATGGATGTTCGCATGACTTTCTAACATCGATGTTAGATGAAGAATATACCCGTGACGTGTCAGTTATGCACTGCAGAAAACACAACGTCTCAAATGCATTAAACAGCACAGATATATTCACTGTTTGGTGGATCGATTTGATCCATGATCGACATTAAGGGCTGCTTAAAAATGAGCGTGCACATTAAATTATCCAGGCTCATTGAACCTGGATCGGATTAGATTGCGTGATCTTAAATTGTCGCTTTTGCCCCGGTTGATTTATTAGGTTATTTCAAGTCAGGTTTTGGAGTTTTAAGCCTTGGTTTTCGTAGTGTCTTTTATGAAACAGACCCCTGACCACTTTTTCACTGGAGGAAGAGTTATTATGGAGTATGGACTTAATGGTTTGAATTAAAAACATCTTAATGATGGATATGTTTCAGATTTTGTCTTCTCCAGATGTTCACTGATGTGCTGGAGTGGTGTGGATTATTGTGATGTTTTTATCAGCTGTTTGGACTCTCATTCTGACGGCACCCATTCACTGCAGAGCAAGTGATGAAATTACACATTTCTCCAAATCTGATGAAGAAAAACTCATCTACATCTAGGATTGCCTGAGGGTGAGCACATTTACATTTTTGCATGAACTACTCCTTTAAACTTCAAAACTATGAGTTTCATCTATTAATCAGGGCAGAAAATGTGCAAATAAAGTCTGCAGATTCTGAGGATCCGTCTGACATGGTTTCCTACTCTTATCTAAAGCATGCACGAGCGAACAGTGTGCTGGTTAATGTGTGCTCTGTGTTCCAGAAAAACCTGCTCCGAGCAAAAGGAAAAGGCTGCGGTCGTTTCCTACTTTGAGTCGTCATGAAGTCGGCGAAGTTCCAGATCAGCTCTCCAATCACGAACTCCTTCCTCTTCTGGTCGAACACGTTGTGGTAGTTCTGCAGGACCGTGGTTTGATACTCCTCGGTGAACATCATGGGTGGATCCTGCAGGAGGACAAACACGTGAGGCTCACTTCTTCCCACAGCTGTCAACGCTGGGTAAACAGAAAAACTTCAACAGCTGTAAAGTTTTTGACAACTGTACTTAAAACTATTTAAAAAAACTGGTTAAAAAATATATTTTGTATACACACACTTTATTGAGTCCAATAATAATAATAATAAAATAATACACACATATATATATATATACACACATACACACACACGACCGGTCAAAAGTTTGGGATCAGTAAGACTTGTAAAGTTTTTAAAGAAGTGTCTTCTGCTCATCAAGGCTGCATTTATTTGATCAAAAATACAGGAAAAAAACAGTAATCTTGCAAAATGTTATTACAATATAAAATAATGGTTTCTATTTTAATATACTTTAAAATATAATTTATTTCTGTGATGCAAAGCTGTATTTCCATCATCATTACTCCAGCATAAAGGTCACATGATCTTCAGAAATCATTCTAATATGCTGATTTATTATTAGTTTGACAACTGTACTTAAAACTATTTTAAAAAACTGGTTAAAAAATATATTTTGTATACACACAATTTATTGAGTCCAATAATAATAATAATAAAATAATACACACACATATATATATATATATATACACACATACACACACACGACCGGTCAAAAGTTTGGGATCAGTAAGACTTGTAAAGTTTTTAAAGAAGTGTCTTCTGCTCATCAAGGCTGCATTTATTTGATCAAAAATACA